TTCATGAAGTCCCTTATCCCTTAAGAAACAATTTCTTCAATAGGATAGTTATAATGGGGTTTTCATTGTGGGAAATGTACAAAATTAAATTCATTCCTTTTGGTTCATTATTCCTATAGCCCCAAACTCCTCTATCATCTATCATCATCATCAAAAAGAGTTTTGTTTTCTGTTTTGTTTATATTTCCCATGATGTATGAAGCAATCCTTTTCTAGAAACAATGAAGCATGAGCTAATGTATTTATGATCCCCAGTACCACTGTGTTTTCTTTGTGTTACATCCTTCAAGAAAAAAACAGGTTTTCTTCCCCCAGGACACAGTCCAGTTTACAGTGTTGGGCACCACAGTCAGAAATAGTGCCAGTTTTAAGAGTGGTTTAAAGGAAATTATTTTAAACATCCTTACCAGTGTCATCCTATTTATTTGTCTGTCTCTTCAGCAACCTGTATAAGGTGAGTAATGCCTTATCCCCCTATTTTGCTTTATTATACAAAATGTAATTGAGGAAACTCATTATACCTTATGAGCAGTGTTCAGTTGTTGTGTAAAATTTCAAGTAAGCAATACTATCCTATAGACTATATGTCAATCATGGTTGTCTACTTTGGCTTTCTTCTAAATCATACTCAGTTATGCTCTTCAGTCTAACAGTTTTGCCTTGGATAAAAGCAGGAATCCTCTGACTTCAGTAAAAGTGCACCAGAGGTCCAGAAAGGGCGGAGCAATGAGTTTGCAACTGTAAGGTGGATAGCATCAGGCAGTGCTCAGTTAAATAACAGGAACTGGTATACATGCTACAAAAATTATTGTGGTTTGATATTTTACTTACTGCTTTTTACTGCTGCCTTTTGATGTCCTTTCTGAATCAGGTTCAGAGGTACTGGCATGTTGTGCTTTCAAACTCTTTGTCACAAGCCAGCAATGAAGTAGAACTCTGAAAGGAAAATTAACATTCAACAGTTTCTTCAAAGATGAACTTGACCTCTAACTTGTCATCAAACTGACCCAAAATTCTGCTAGTGGGGATGCAATCTCAGCAGCTTATAAAGATACAGCTTGAACTGTTAGACAGTACAGGACCATGACACATAATTCAGTTTAAATTAAGTGGAAGCAAAGAGAAGCTAAAATATATAATCAGAAATTTTTCAATTTCAAAAAGCAGAACCTGCACAAGACCATGTTCATTATGTTAAAGTTTTACAGAGAAAGTGTACGTATGCAATATACTTATATTTGCATAAGGTTTATTTATTTTGAAACCTCAGTACTTCCCTGTTCACTTCCTACCTTTGCTTTGTTCACTTTCCCACTCTGGAGTATGTGCCAAATACTCCATATAAAAAGAACACTGAACTTAGGGTCTCTGAAGATAAATAATTAGAAAGCTATAACAAAGTTTTCCAAATATTTGTCAGTAATTTTAAAACTATAAATCTCAGAACTATAAGCCAAATACAATCCTGTTATTTTAGATAAGTATCACAATACCACCAGAGACAGTAAAAATAAAAACCTGAACAAGATGTTTCTAAGAAGTAGAAGTAATTTCTTCTAAATTTGTCACAGTTCAAATGAAAAATTGATTTAAAAAAGAACAGTTCTTTTAAAAAGAGCCATTACTACTTGACACAAATAAGAACATTCCTTATGTGAACACAAATGAAAAAGTGGAATACAGTGGTTCACAACAGTATTATATGTTACTACAAGATGTGTCCTTGACAGCAAATTACATACAAAGTATACCTAGGAAAAAGTTTGCTTAAATAGCCGTCAGTGAGAGTATCACTAATTTTGCTTAATAATACTTTATTACATAACCAAAAATTAAAGAAAGATCAGAGCCAGCCCTAAGTATTTTTAGGTGTGGGCCTGCAAGATATTTTTATAGGCCTCATGCAGTGTTAGGTATTTCTCACATAACTAATCCAAATAACTCTGGAGAGAGGCAGCAAGCTGATTCACCATGGGTTTAGGTTACCTATTACCTATAAACCTGGATATTCATCTGCTCGGCTCTGACACGTTGCCTATACCACAAATCAGGCAGTGACAAGTGGGTATTCAAGTGGCAATCCAGGTTCCCCACTTTCAGCAATAGTCATTCAATCAGAATGAAGCAAAACCCCGGGTTTTTCACGCAGAGGGTGTTTTGGCACTGGAACAGGCTCCTGAGGGCGGTGGTCACAGCACCAGCCTGTCAGAGTTCAAGAAATGTTTGGACAATGCTCTCATGATGTGACTCTTGGGGTGTCCTGTGCAGGGCCAGGAGTTGGACTCGATGATCCTGACAGGTCCCTTCCAACCCAGTGTATTATGATTATACACACTTTCCTTGGCAAAAAAGTCAGTTCTGCTTTGAAGTTTCAATTTCTGTCTGTAAATCATTCCATGTAGTGTCTATAAAATTACACAATGTAATGTTCCACTGCATGCCTTCAAATATGAGAGGAATCGCTGGAGGCTTTCAAGGTGCAATTGGACAAGGTGTTTATAATTTTATTTGTGCTCCCTTTCCCATGAGCCTTTGGCCCAGATTGTTGTGTGAGATCCCTTCTAACCTGGGCTGTTCTATGATTCCATGGTCTTACAGATGTGAAACACACTAGTGGACACTGGGAAGACTAGAGCCATTAGCCTTTCTATGCAAATATGTAGCCAAATGAGGGTGGGAGAGTGTGAATAAGGGGAAGATAAAAGCCAGAAGGATATCCTATTCAACCATTTCCTTATTGATGTCACTCCCTTATCACTCACCTCACTCTCTCCCTGCCATTAGTCTAAGAGGTTCTTACACTGGGCTAACATGGCAATCATTTTGTAAGGAGACAGAGGGGTCTCTGTGGTAAGAGGCCTGAAGCTGTCCCATGTCAGACATAAAAAGCTGAGCCAATCTTGCAGGCACCAAGGTACTGACCTTGGAGGTCAAGAGGAGGGTGGGAGGGTGGGGCAGCTGGTGTGCCTAAAGGGAATCTGCTAAGAGGAGCCACTGTAGGACACATATCCTGGAGGCCATTCTGTGTATCCCGTAGCCTAGGATAGGACCCACATTGGAACAGTTCACAAAGGAAAATGCACTGCTTTCTGATTAGATTTATGCCCCATGCACATACTTCTGTCAAGTTAAGGCTCAGCTATCTAGATGACACATGAAAACCAAACAGCTATGAGACACAATGGTCAAATAACAGTCATTGTGCTGTTAATACAAAATTCCTCCTGTAGACACAAACATTCTGGATAACAAAAAACTTAGCTGTGAGCTAGTAATGCCTGCAAAGCAGTTAAGCCAACACATCACCATGCATACTATGGCTCTGAATGAATGAGCAGGAAATAAGGCTTTCTTCTGAAAACTGAGAAATACAGAAAAGCAGTGGAATGATTCGGAAAACAATGGCCTGAAAGCTTAGAAGTGGTATGATAGCTTCCAGGTGGAATCCTTCAAAATCCCTGCAAGATGGTCTGTAATAGGGAGGGAGGGAGGGAAGGAACTCAGAAACCCTCCCCAGACATATCAACCAAAACAAAAAAAACCCCAACAAAAATGCTTAACACCCAAACCATTTATGACCAAGAAGCTAAAACTGAAATTCTTAGCCAACCCCCCCAGATTTTTTTGTAGCATATGCAAGCCTGGTCTCAGATGTCTCTTTCACTAAGTTCACAAAACTTACTACTTCCATATATTTCTTAAATTTCTTTAAATATCCACAACACCCATCTTAAAAATTTTGGCTCATCATTGAAACCGTTGAAACTGTTCCTTTTTTATAAACATGGTACCACATACTATGTTTGGTTCAAACCACAAAGTAGCTCAGGATGACTGCAAAGCTTAGGGAGCACTATTTTGCTCATCACAACACAAGGAGTGTTTTATCACGTGCAGTAACTCCTCTCTTTCTTTTATGTGATACTGCCTTGGCCAGCATGTTGCTGCAAATATTCTCTCACTTTCTCCTTTAAGCACACACTTCGTGGCAAATTATTTATAAACCATAGCCTCTACCTTTACCCTCTGCTTCCCTTGTGGAAGCAGAGATTCAACTTTGTCCAGTTATCTTTTGCAGTAATCAAAAAAACTCAAAGTACTCAAGGACAACAAGAAGCTTGTGGAAATTTGCCTTCCAGATTACAGCCCTATCACTACCACTTCCTTGACTTATAAATTGCAATAATCATATAAGGAAAATCACGCTATGTAAAGCCAGTGTCCACAAAGGAGACAGAGGAGTCCTGCAACTTCATTCCAATAAAGGGAGAGAGCCTATTGGAGTGCACACCCGCGGGGTTTTTTCTCTCGAGGTTTTAGAGGAGGCAGCCTCCTTTCATCCTAAACTGCTGGCCGCATGATGCCCTCTTCCTTCCCCACTTGGCTGAGGCACTAGGAAGCTACAGCCTTCCCGAACCGCTTACCTCATATTCCCGCTTGAACCTGTCATTTTACCCCAGAGTTTAGAAGTTCAGACTTGTGCAGACCCTTGTCTGTTTCGGGAGTCAGACAGTCAGGGTTCTGCAACAAACCTGCTGCCTGAAGTTAGTAGAGACATTAGGGTTAAAACCCACATCTCCACCCATCGAATTTTTCGTAAAGACGTTAGCACACATCTTCCCTAACGATCAGAACACTGGAAAAGCAGGTTATACGCCAAAGTAATCTAGTAAAGTCTTTCTAAAAAACTTTATGTGCATTACATAGAGTGGAATTCTAGAGGTATTTTCCTTGCATTACATGCTGGACAGGGTTTAAGATGAAATATCATGTTTTAAATAGACACAGGAGATACAGAACCACCCCCAGTGTTGATAAAACCAAACAGAGCCACGCCACGGGGAGGGAGGGGACTGTTGTTCACCTGCGGTCACACCGGGATCGCCCGGGCACTGCTTCCTCACCTCGCAGAGGCAGCAGGTGTCTCGCTGCCGGGCTGCTCCGGGCTCGGGCCCGCTGAAGGCAGCGCAGCCGGGAGGAGAGGGCAGAAGCACGGCGGGATGCAGTGCTGGGAGCGAGCCCCGGCGGCGCGGCGGCGCTGGGTGCTGCTGCTCGGGCCGCTGGCGCTGCTCGCCGCCGCCCTGGGGCTGCGCGGCACCGCCCGCCCCGACCCCGCCGACCCCTCCCGCCTCCACCGGGCGCTGGAGCTGTCCCCCAGCCGCAGCATCAACTGCTCGGGGGTCGTCCGCGGGGACCAGAAAGCCATCCGGGAGGCGCAGCTCAACAACCTCGAAGTGGCGAACAGAAAGGCTTCACCGACGCCCGGCGAATACCTGAACATTACGAGGGACTGCAGAGCCTTCAAGAAGACCCGGCGCTACATCGAGTTTCCCCTCAGCCAGGAGGAGAAGGAGTTCCCCATCGCCTACTCCATGGTCATCCACAACAAAATCGACATGTTTGAGCGGCTCCTGCGGTCCGTCTACTCCCCCCAGAATGTCTACTGTGTCCATGTGGACAGCAAATCCCCGGCCGCCTTCCAGGAGGCCGTGCGGGCCATTGCTGCCTGCTTCCCCAACGTCTTCGTGGCCAGCCGCCTGGAGAGCGTGGTCTATGCCGCCTGGTCCCGGCTGCAGGCCGACCTCAACTGCATGCAGGACCTGCTGCAGAGCCCCGTGCCGTGGCGATACCTCATCAACACTTGCGGCACCGACTTCCCCATCAAGACCAATGGCGAGATAGTCCGGGCGCTGCAGCTGCTGCAGGGCCATAACAACGTGGAGTCGGAGAAGCCCTCAGCCGCCAAGCAGCAGCGCTGGCAGTACCACCACGAGGTGGGGGAGACCATCTCTCGCACTGCCCAGAAGAAACTGCCGCCGCCCCACAGCTACCCCATGTTCACGGGCAGCGCGTACAACGCGGTCACACGGGACTTTGTGCAGTACGTCTTCGAGAACCCCACGGCACAAAAGTTCCTCGAGTGGTCCAAGGACAGCTACAGCCCCGACGAGCACGTCTGGGCCACCCTGAACCGCATGCCGGGCGTGCCGGGGGGCACTCCCCCCAGCGACAAGTTCCAGCTCTCGGACATGAACGCCCTTCCCCGCCTGGTCAAGTGGGAGTACCTGGAGGGGGACATCAGCAAGGGCGCGGCCTACCCGCCCTGCACCGGCCGCCACCAGCGCGCCATCTGCATCTACGGGGTGGGCGACGTGCCCTGGATGCTGCAGCAGCACCATCTCTTGGCCAACAAGTTCGACCCCGAGGTGGACGATGCGGCCCTCCAGTGTCTCGAGGAGCACCTGCGCCACAAGGCCCTGTACGGCCGGGGGCTCTGAGGGGGAGCCGCCGAGACTCTGGCCAGCACCTGTTGCCTTCCGCGGGCGGGTCTAGCCCACGGCGCCTCGGGGACAGCGGGAGAGGATCCCCTGGGCCCCTGAGGGGCCCACGTCTCGGCGCGGCCCCGAGGAGAAGCCCCATTGGCGGGCGCGGGGCTGCGGCCCCGCCGAGGCCCGGACGGACGGACAGACGGACGGGCCGGCCCGGTGTGGAAGGGCGGGAGGCTCAGCCCGGCCCGGCCCGCGGGGTCCCCTCAGAGGGCGCAGGAGCGCCGCTCTCCCCCGGACCGGCTGGAGGAAGCGGGCGGGGCGTTTCACAGTCCCTGCCTGGGTCTATCGGCAAAGGTGAGCCCAGACGCTTGTAGACGGGCAGGGCCGGGTCACGGTGGCTGCAGGTCCGGCTAGGGGCAGAGCTGAAACCATGAGTAATTTGCTTTTCCACAGAGCACCGCCCATTCCTGGCACCCTCAGCGCTGCTCAGCTGAACATCTGGCTGCTGCTTTTGCCTCACTTTAAACTTCGGCTCCATCAGAAGCCGTTAGTTAAAAGTCAACCTTCAATAAAATCCAAGATACTAAAATACATAGCGCTTCGGTGTTTTATATCCCCTGAGGAGAATGGTTTGTGCTCCTGGGCAAAGCATTAGATCAGTTAACCCTTTGTGCATCCACTTTGTCTGAAACACAGACATGCACACAAAGGCGTGTAAACCTACATTTTCTAAGATCTACATCCTTCTTCCCACCAACCTCCCCTCCCCCCCCCCAAAGGATATTTTGGTGATATTTCATTAGTGTAATTACCATATCCAGTAATGCACAATGAACAAGCCAATCACCCAACACACTGTTTTTTTAAGTTTCTAGAAGCTGAAAGGAAGACCTGCACACTTCTGTATTTCATCCATGTGTTTTTCTCACCTTCTCATAATAAAGCTAGCCACTTCCCATGGATCCAACAACTTTTCACTACCTGTAATGCTGAGGGATTAATGCCATTGACTTTATTTAAAAAAAAAAAATCAATCTATTAAAGTAACTTCCTTCTAAGTACTGCAAATTTAAGGTCTACAGTGGAGAATTAGCATTATTCAGAACATCTGAAGCAATTCCATAACTCCAGGGTACACTTAGATGAAGTTATGACTACAGTCACACTGATCTTTCAAACGTTGATTTAAGTAGGATGAGAAGATGAAGTAACTGTCTTGAAAAGGTATGTCACTGCAATTTTGTTAGACACTTTAAAGTGAACTTGGTTGTAAAATAGTGATTTTTAAAATGCCATGGTGATTTTACAGACAACAGCTCCAAGTACTGGCAAGGAAAGCTCTCAAACATAAATACCCAGTGTATCATTGGGCATGTGTTTATGCAAAAGAGCAAATAAATAGGATTACTGATCCTGGAGAGAGCTGTTTCCAACTTAAGTAAGCAGACATTTGCTTGAGCTTAAAGCCTTATGGTAACCTGATGGTAAGATACAACTTTTTAAAATGGTTTCAGTAGCAAATTCAACATAAAATAGAAATTATCTCCATGTCTTGTACATTATTTTAAAATAAACAAAACTTCTCTGATGACTTAGGGTAAGAACTCAAGTCTCCCACCATAGAAAACTGCATCAAACCACTGCTGTCTAACCTGATTTTGCTTGTTAGAACTCTTTCACTTACTTTAAATTTATATGTATTAGTTCAAAATGGCAAACTAGTGCCAAGGGGTTCTTTGGGGGGACTGGGATATGTTCAAATTTCTGGACTGAAACAGGCAGAGAAGTGTCACTCTATTGGGAACGGCAAGAAGAACAACACAGACTCTATTGTGTGTTGAACAGGAGAGCAAAGTTTATTATTCTTGATCTTCTTTTATACACATGTTCGAGAAAGTCTGAGAGGTAAAACTCTCACTGCTCATTAAAGCAACACATCACCAGCATTGGTTAAGTGGAACACCACCCCTTGACTGTTTTCCTAAACACCACCTGCAGATTGCTGTCCTTTATCAAGGACTGTTTGGATTCCTTCTCCTGCTTTCTCAGGCCAGAGTGAGAAGCCTGTGACTTAGTTTCACACAGGCTCTGTTCCCTTCTTTTTGCATTTAATATCCACATTTTTCTAACTGTGTCAAAGTGTTGTCTTTTTCCCTTGGAAAATTGAGGAAAAGTGTGCATATTCATGGAGACAAAAAAAAAATCCCATAATTAACAAGAAATTGCATCAAAACCAAATCCATCCCTGAAATAAATGTCTGTAAAAACAAAATAATTTATTTCTCAAAGAACAAATGTATTGGGGGGGGGCTGGAAGGAATCCTAGCTTGAAACAGTGAAAGATTCTTGAATGAGGGACCTGTTATTTTGCAAATATACCTGTACAGAAAGATACATACTTACAAGTTATAGACTTGTCAATAGTAATTTTTATCCCCTTTACTTTGTAAATATGTTTAACTTCTTCAGCTCTTTCTTCTCTCAGAAACATGAAGTATTGCTTGTACACACTATAACAACAGTGTTTCATCTGTTCTTGTCACACACTAAAATGTTACAGATGGAGAGAGAGACAAGGATTTAGATTGGGGGTGGAAAGTGCCACTTCAAATCTGTTCCATGGTAAGCCTTTTAGCAAAGTCAAAGTATTTTTTCTTTTAATGTTACTCACTGCAATCTTTGCCCTTCCTGGTTAAACCTGAACACGGAGAATCTAAGCATTAATCCAGATTTGAAAGAGCTTGCCCATAGAATATAAAGGCATCATGTGAAGCCAGCATACCAGAAAACAGCTTGGTGACTCAGTAGGAGGGACAGCAGTTATCTAGCAACACAATCGGTTCAGAGGTCACTGCTTTGGATGAAAACGACTGTTCTGGTGTTATTACCTGCAGAAGTAAACAGCTAGCAAACCTTGACATCCAATTTTCTTGATCCAAAGGAAATTTCCTGTTTCTGATGGTGTTACTACCCAGAATTCCTCTCAGATGATTTGGTTGCAAAAACAAAGGCTATCTTGTGCAAATTTATTTTCAAATCACTTCTTTTAGTAGTGACCTAACTTCTTCTGAAAGAATCAGCCTACTCCCAAATGCTTAAGGTGAACAAAGACAAAACGATTCTTACAAAGGAATGTTCTCAGCATATCCTCTTTCAAAGACATTAGAAATGGCATGAGTGTAGTCATACATCAAAGCAGCAATATGTCTCTGACATTGGAAATAGCAGTAAAAACTACCACTCAACTCTAATACAGAACTTTGCCTTCCAGAGATCTCAAAAGATCTTAGAAATAAGATAGCTGGTCTCTTAGAGCTGGCAACAGAGCACAGAGAAATCTTGTAATTTGCCACAGTTGCAGAACCAAAAAGAGAAGGAACTCAGAATAGAGTAGGACCAGCTCTAGCCCGAAGTAGCACAATCACATCAGATAATAGGACCACCTTCAAAAATAGATTAAACCCCATAGGTAATTCATCAGAAAAATCATGGGCTGTCCGGTTGGAAGTCATATCAGAAATATTAACTTTTTGTAGTAAAAAATCTACTTCTGACACTTCTGTCTACAAGCATTAACTCACAACTTGAACTGTAAATGAGCCAGCAGTTGTTTAAGGAGGAAATATGCTGCAAATTTACCTTTCAAGAAGTGCACGGGAAGAAGATGAAATTATAATTCTGGAATTTAATAACAGATTTTTCTGTTTTAAACCTGGCTAAAAATGATGTTTTATTTCCCAGTGGTTTTCACTTTATTTTTACAAGAACAATGTGGCTTATTACATAACCCGTCCATAACAGCTTTTTAGCTTTAGTTAGGAGGGTCTATTTCCTTCTTGCTTTGCATTTGATACTTTATACGATCATCTCTGAGATACCCTTTAATAAAGAGATGGGTCAAAGACAATGAATTTGTAGGAAAACAGGTAACAAATTCTAAAGAAACAAAAAGTAAACATGAACTATATGAACGCAGTACCTATGAAATATTTGCAGTAAATATAAAAATTTATTTTGAGTAATTTTTTTTTTTTTAACCGAGTAAAACTAACTCATGGAGCAGGGTTAGGATGTTATTTTTCTTCTGACTGCAAAAGCAGTTCCCATAAAATGTCTTGAAGGATGTGTTCTTTTAGCACAAGATGCAAACCAAAATATTAATATCTGGAAATTACAACCTCCTAGTCCATAATGGCTAATCCTAATAAAGACCACCATTTAGGTTATAGTGAAGAAAAAGTTCATGTCTCCCAGTATAGTCTTACTGAAGTGCTTTGTAACATGCTTCTACTTTCTTCCCCACCACAAAATTTTAGACTACAGAAAAGCAAACCCAGGTCAGTAGGACCTTGACTGAAATCCTACCCCCTAAGCTGCCAAGATCCTTAAACACAAGTATCTGTGCTTTGAGTAACTCTCCTCTACCTCACTGTGCCTAGTCATCGTGCAAAGGTACATAATGATCCTGATTAAACTTGTCTTCTGGAAATTCATCATAAATTCTTCCTGCTCTGCACTTTAATTTCTGCCTCTCTGATAACATTTGAATTCAGGTATTGACATCCCTGACTAAGCAAACAGCTTGCATCAGATAACATCCTGGTTTGCACACCTATAGAATCGACAAAATCCTTTTTCTTGGAAACCATGTTTAAACAGGCAGTCATCCACAGCCAGTTCTGCACTGTATTTATTCTTTCCTTCACTTTCTTTACATTAATTTACTTTCTAAATAGAAGCATCCATTCCAGTTCAATGTCAAATTGCACAGGTATATTTTACTTTCTCTCTGCTGCTGAGAAGTGGGAACAATTGTGATATTCCTAAAGAAATATAAAATAAATGAAAAAGTCTGGAACACTACAGGCAAAGAAGACCCAAGTAGGCAGCAGCAAGTGTGCTGATGCTCGAGCAAGTGAAATGACGTGTCTTCCACTGGAAATTACAATAGCTTAGTATAGCAGAAGTGCAGTTGATGCTTTTAACTGTAAATTCAATCTTCCAAGACC